GGCTATTCTTCAGTAATTACAATGCGATGTATCAATACGTGCATGAACAAAATTATGCTAATGAGGTCATCGCCATCTTGGATTACAAGCGGTAGTTTTTCCCAGCCGTTTCGACTTGCACTGATCACGGTTACCGGTATTAAAAAAGTAACCGTGCATTGATTACAATACTTACCATAATTTGTAGCCAATTTCAGTGAGTAATACAACTTCATTCGCTGACATAAAACAAGTTTTATTCTTGAAATTCGACCCTGTGTCTTAGTGTTCCCACAGTTCTTGACCGAGTGCTCACGTTTATTGAAACCTCGCATAAATCAAGAAATAAGTTTGTGTACAAAGTGTACGAAAGCATTCCTTTATTTGACCTTATCATACGATCACAAAAACAACTTTTTAAAATCTTTTTTGGGGTGGTCCTCGGGTAAGCGCCCACCCCCAATTTTTCCTGATTTTGTATGTTCAGGCCCCTGGGCGCGTGCCCGGGGTAATACGGTAACAAAATTACCGTTTAAAATAAAAAATCGAATCCGATGACTGTAAATAAATTGATCATTATGTTGATTGCATTATGGGTACTGAGGACAAAGGTTCGCCTGTCTGGCACTCTGTAATTACATTTTCTAATAAAAGCAGGAACCAAACTACTGTACCAATCATGATTTTTATGCAATGAAACACACTTTTTACACGCATATTTTATTATGTCTTTGACACTCGGTAAAAACACCCTTGGCCTATACTCGGGAATTCCCTCAAGTCGTTAAATGTTTAAAAATAAGGGGTGGGCTTGTACTCAGGGAGGGGCTTATGATCGAGGAAGTATGGTGACAGAATGCCTTGCAGGGACTGCTCTAATGTTCAATAATGTGCTTTTACTTTCCTTGTGTTCATTTGCCGCAGAGTTAGCCAAAGACACAGTCTTTAGTAGTTTAGTACACTAAACATAGCATTCCTCAGTTCATATTCAGAGGACCACATATTAATAAATTTCTGATAGCATAGCAGTAGGTGTGTTTTATTAACTCTTTTTAACAGGTATTTTAGTAGACCTACCTGGTTTTATAAAAAGACTAGTGGAGGTAGCTGGTAGAAGACTGCCTTCACCAAGCCAAAATTTACCAGCCCTGTTCAATGAACTTGAAAGCTGGGTGACGTGGTTAGACAGTTCGTTGGCATTTGATGCCTTGATGGAGGTTGCACAAGAAGAGGAAGAAGTATATTTAACAATACCATTAGATGCAGGACAAGGCGATACGTCAATATTACCTCAGTCAATGCGTGTAATGCATGAAGTTATGTATAAAGTTGAAGTGTTGTATGTATTGTGTCTGTTACTAACAGGCAAACAAAGAAATAAGGTATGTGTAATGTATGTTTCTTACTATAATCTCATTTTGCTCAGGTTTTGTGTGTGAAACATGAAAAGGACATTTTCAGTCTGCAGTTGTTTAATTTTGTTGTAATGTAATATTGACTCTGATACTATTAGCCACATGAATCCTCTATTTTCAAATAAAATACAGTCATGCATAGATCAAATGAATTCAACATGGCATTGGAAGTTTCAAACATAGCCAAATATCTGTCATCTGAATTATGTTTATGTATTTGAACTGATCCTGGATTATAACAAGTTTGTGTCAAGCTGTAAAATCTTTATGGATTTCTTTAAAAAGGGACCCTTATTTTGGGAGAGATTGACTCCTATCTGTGATGGCAATTCATTGAATTTATAATATATGATTAAGATTGTTATGCTAAATTAGTATCCTGAGATTACATTTGACTGTGTTCTTCTTCTTACTAGGTGCATGACCTGCTTGCTGATTCTCGATTAGTACCCTCAATCAACGACATATTTGATAAAATCATCTGGAAGTGTAATCTACGCAGCAGTCCGGATCCTGAACTAGACGACAGCTGTGAATGCAGTCCTGAAATAGCACTCAAGATACAATTCCTAAGACTTGTGCACAGTTTCTGTGATCACCATCCGTAAGTTGACTTCCATGTTTCATATTGTCATCTAAATTTGTTAATTAATTCGCTAGTGTGCAAATATGTTAATACAATTTCGAAAACCTTTATCTTAATTCAACAAATTGGTTTATCAGTGTAGAAAGTATCAATTCTTTATACAAAAAGTTCAATTCAGCTACTGGTGTAGAAGAATACTATATGCTTTCTCTCTGTTACAGAAACAAATACCTAATGCTGACTCGTACCGAGATCAATGAGTTAAACAGGATAGCTAATAACGCACGAGTGCCTATCTTAGATTCAGTTAAAAATATCAATAGGTGAGCATTTCTTTTCTTGTTACATGTTCCACGTATAATGTTAAGTCTGTTAATGAATGTTTTACATATATTTAAAACCATAACTTAGCTAATTATACTCACACAGTGTATTATTATTTGCTTCATACAACACTGTATATTGCTTGATCAAAGTAACAAATGATTTTATTTCTCACAGTTTCCATTAAACAATTCTTGTAGTTAAATTGTTTGGGATTATTTCTACATTGTAGACAATTGCTATGTGTTGGACAGAAGGGTTTACTCACGAAGGTTGTTGAAGCCACTAAGAAAGAACCTGTTGAGTCTCCCTTTAGGTAAGTTATATAACCTATATATAGTCACATGTTTGGACATTGCATTGTAACAGTTTTCTGTGGCTCTGTCTATTTCACAAAAGAATAGACTACTTTTATGTTCTTGAAATATAAATTGTTTCTGTGATGAACATGCACATTAATGGTAATAAGCTGCAATTTATATGCATTGCTTAGACAGTACAGTTAAGAAGGCAACCGGTTTCAAGGCCAAATTTGATTAAAATTGTTTTGGTACATGTATATACAAGTTTAATACAGGCAATATTTTGATGTTTTAAAGAGCACCAAGATAAACATTTGGCAATGGCCTTTGATGCATGTGTGAAGACTTGTACATGTATTTGTTTCAATTTGGAGCTAATAACTTTTGTTAGTATCAAATCTTTGTTGTATTTTGAAATCTCTCTGAATTGTCTTGAAGAAAATGGAAGGTTTCTAATGTTTCTTGTAATTGTCTTTCAGGTTCTGGTTAGGCAGAGCTATTGAAAGTTTTCTCCGTGGTGCTACGTCATTTGCTGATCAAACCTTTTTACTTCGGAGAGGGCTCTTGAGGTATGTATAGCTTTCTTTTCTAAAAGTATATGTTATCTGCAGTTATGGGTATGTGGACTGCCCCTGCTGTGAACTGATGCAGTGAGATAATTTACATTGAATAATGTTATTTGATGTGGTAGTCTGTATCGTATCATTACAGACATTGTACTAAATTACAGCAGATATCTATGTAAGAACACAGATTCATGTGATTAATGTAGTTATTTGCATTTATTTCTTTTGTGTAGCATATTATAAGACATATGATAGACAATGATGTCAAGTCTAAAGAAATCTTACAGAGTAGTTTTGATCTGTTGGGTGAGCTGATGAAATTTAATGTCAATGCCTTTAAACGTTTCAACAAACTAATAACGTCAGAAACTGATGTAAGTATTGTCAGCTCTCTGTCATATTAGTTTTCTCTCATCTTGTTTTTTGGGTAACCAAGATTTTAACAATTTACTTATTTTCCTGAAAATTATGAAAAGAAATAAGAACACTGTAATATGGTAAAATACTTTATTTTAACTGGAATGAATTTTCCCTGAAAATGCTTTTTGAAGCATCCCTTCAGCGAAAATAAAGTATTCTACAGTATTTGAAGCTGATGAAAGAAGGTGAATACTGAAATATGATTCATCCCTTTACCATTTCATTTACCGGTTTAGTCAATTCCAATAGAATTATGGCGTCATGCAATAAATACTATCAACACAACTAAGTAACAAAACAACACCATCTTATTCATTATTGTGTTTCACTTGTCATCATATTCAAGAATTACCATTCAGAAATTGTCCAATTTATTGTGTACATTGCTGATGTTGAATGCTGTGATTTCTTACAGTTTGCGAATTTCATATCACTTATAAAAGACAACATTGTTGATTCAAATATGTTTATCAGATGTATGATTCTGTCTTTGGAACATTTTGAAACAGAGCAGACTGAACATAAAGGTTGGTGCATTTCACTTTGAATTTTGTCTGACTGATTTTAGTTTATGTCACTTAACGTAGCATTTTAACTGAGGTGTTGTACAACAATGAGGAAGGTCAAACATTGAATACAAAAATGCAAGATTGGAAAGAAAAAATGATAAACTTGATATGAATGTTTCTTGGTATGCACACTTTGTATTGTTTCAGAGTATGCTACAACCAAATGCAAGTTGCTTGGCTTCATTTTGGAAAGAAAAGCTCGACTCCAGTTTTTATTTAAACTAATCAATGTTATTAAAGTGCAAAGTCTTACACAGGTATGTAGTGCTGAAGTATGTCTCATGAGAAACTACAGTGTAGTGTAAAATAGTCATTGAATGCAAGTATTTAAATGTTATTTGCAATCAGCAATATTTTAAGTTATATTGAAACCCTGTATCTTCAAAATAAATGCTTTAACCAACTGGAGTACATGAAGCACATTTAAAATACATTGTCATTCACAATTCTCATACATTTATTTTGGACTTTTATATTTACTGGTATTCAGTTTAACAATCTTGGTCTATCTTAGTCTATCGCATAATGTTAAATATAGATTGTAGAAACATTAGATACTATCAATCGTGTATTACATCTTCACGTCATTAGCAAAGTGTTTAATATCAGTGTTTGTATCAAGAATATCTGAAATGGCAGTGATATATATAAGCAAGATATGTTTGAAAAATGTATTTTTGGACATACCGGACATAACTAATATCTTAACCTTTTCACCACCAGTTCACCACCCTCTTTTCATCACAAATTCACAAAATAGTCCTGTTTATAGTCTGAACTTTCTTTCAGGAAATGGCCGAACTTGAGTAAAAACTGAAAATTTACTCGAATTGTGTCTATTTGCTTAAAAACTAGGGTTTAATCCCAGAAATAATGAAGAATACAAACAAAAAAGACAGAAAAATTCAGACGAGAAAGTCTGGTGGTGAAAAGGTTATGCCTATATATTGAGCATGTCCATAAATTTTAAATCAATACAGTTTTTAGCGTATGTGCTTACCTAAATAACATAAGTCTGTCTATAACCATTGCAAGTCTTATTTTAATAATCCAGTATACAATAAATACAACTATTATTAATATAGTATATCACAGTACATGTTAGATTATATTTCATTGTGGTTAAATACTAAAATGTGGATAATCTTGTATTTTATTACTTGTAGGAAAATGTGAGTTGTTTGAATACCACGCTAGTATTTCTCATGTTTGCAAAACAGAAAGGTGAATTACAGGCATATTTAAGTGCATTCCATGATGAAGAACATCGG